CCAGGGAAGGACTGAAGACCAAAATGTCATCCAAGAAGGTGATGACGAACTTGCGATTCGGACCCGAGAAAACAGAATTTATGACACACTGAAATGTGGGTGGTCCATTTGTAACACCGAATGGCATGACCCGGAATTGGTAGTGGCCATGGTGGGGTTTAAAGGCCGTCTTCTCTTCATTTCCTTCTCTCATCCGTATTTGATGATAGCCCGCACGCAAATAGATTTTGGAGAAGAGCGCGGCGCCTGCCAGTTCATCCAATAATTCATCGATGGCAGGAAGAGGGAATCTGTTCTTTATCGTCACTTGATTCAAACATCTGTAATCCACGCAAAAGCGCCAAGTGTCGTCTTTCTTTTTAACAAGCAGTACTGGGGCGGCGAACGGGCTCATGTTGTGTGTAATCACTCCAGTTTTTAACATCTCACTAACCCGTCGCTCTATTTCATCTTTCTGCAATGGCGAGTATCGGTACGGGCGGCAATTCACTGGTGCGGCCCCTGGCTCTAGGGTAATGGCATGATCATACTGTCGGTGCGGGGGCAGCTGAGTTGGTTCTTCGAAAATGTCACTAAACTCTGTCAGAATTTTCTGAATTGTTGAGGAATTGGTTGTCCAGAGTCTGAACTTGGTTGGGTCAGTTGAATTTCAAGAAGTGCTGCTCCCCAAATCTCGTTGGAATCATGCATTTGCCACAAGGTAGCCGCATCCATCGCACTGAGAGCTGGCTGACCATCTGATCGCACTCCTGTCAGATGCACTGTCTTGCCTTCGTCTTCAAATTGCATAGTTTTTAGTTGCCAGTCACACTGCATCGGACTGTGTTGGGCTAACCAATCCACACCCAACACTGCATCATAAACTCCTAATTCTAACACATGCATATCTGTAGTGAATTGATGCTCTTGGACACACCACTGCAGCCGGGGCACCATGGCCGTGCAATTCAATCTCTGACCATTAGCAACGCGCACTGATATTGGAGAGATGTTAGTGGTTGCTGCACCAATTCGAGCTGCAAAAGTAGCATTGACGAAGCTATGAGTGCTTCCAGAATCCACTAGCAACAACATGGTTTGATTGCCCACCGTGGCACGGAGACGAATGGTTTCCGCAGTTTCAGTTCCTTCGACAGCATGTGCAGAGAGCAGATAACACTCGGGGTTCCCAGCTCCATCCGGTTCGTCCAACAATTGCAAAGCTCTGACAGCTTCATCGGATAGCACCTCCCCATGATCACCCACTTCTATTGTAAGCAGCTGAGCTGACCGTTTGCACTGATGCTCTCTTGAGTATTTGTCCCCACATCTGAAACAAAGACCATGCTGTCTCCTGTAGTCACGAAGTTGGCGTTCGCGACTGAAATCGTCAGCAGCCGATTTGGGTGACGAACATCACGTGCTGGAGGTATTGCTGCAACGGGCAAGACAGGTGCTGGAGGGGGACGCCCGAGTGCTGGCAAGGTACTTGGAACAGGCAGTGGCCGTCCTGGAGACACCGGACGAAATCGAGGACGCTGAATCTCAAGTCCCTCCTCCTGAATTCGAGCAAAGACCGTCGCTCTTGTGATGCTGGTAGGCGCCTGAAGACGGACTGCTGCTCGGAGCTCATCCTTTAGGCCCAACAGGAATTGGGTGACAAAAAATTTAGAGCTGAGAGAGGCATCCAACGCTAGCAAATTATACATGTGGACTTCAAACTGTTGTCTATATTCTGCCATTGTCCCTGTTTGCCGAAGCTGCAGTAGGTTGTGCATTGTGGACTCGAATTCTTCAGGACCAAATTCCTCCACAATTGCACAGCGAAACATTTCCCATGTAATTTCCTTATGCATCTGACGAAACGCTCTAAGCCAGAGAGCGGCATGGCCATCGACGTAGAGCGCAGCAGTCGCCACCCAGTTGTGCGGCGGCACCCTGTATAGCTCAAAATAAGCTAAACAACGATCCAACCAAACACGCGGTGCCTCACCATCGAACCGAGGGAACTGATGCTTGGGAGGACGGGCATAGTACTCATCGTGCCCGGCTGGCTGCGGTCGCGCTCCTGCAGGCAATCTGATCGGCGAGACGAGGAAGCAGAGGCGGCCCTTCGTTGGTAAGCCGCGTGAACGGAGCCGTGCCGATGATGACTTGAGGAATTGGCACGGCGCTCGGAGGCGGTGTGGGACGGAGCTCCGGTGGTGTCGGGGCCTCCCGTGTTACCCTTGGGCGTGGCGCAGGGGCGGAGGGATCATCGACTTGCAAGCCTGTCGACGGAGCCGACGAAGCCGACGGAGACGCAACCTTGCGCACATCATCGACCTCTGCCTGGGTGAGCCCGATCTGCTTCTAAAAGCTTTGTAGCTCCTGTGAGACTTGAGTGTTGAATGTTGTCTGCGCCTCCGCCCGCTTGTCCGCGAGCACTTTTTCCTCGTCAAATCTGGAGAGGAGCGTCTCCATCAGGGCGGTAAGGTTGCTGGTCTGCTCCCCCATGGCGGCTAGTAGTTGTCGCGTCTGCACAAAAGGTTTGGAAGGCGCCGTGGCTCCCGCCCCGAGCAGATCGAACCCCGCGTAGGATTTCGCGCGACCTGACCGGAGTGAAATCGCACCTACGGCGGTGGATATTACCGATCCGGCCAAGGGAGTATGGGAGTCGTGGTGGGGGAAAAATCCGGCGAATTGAAGGCTCTGATTACCAATTGTGACGACCGAACCTTGGAAGGGGATCGATCGCACAGAGAATTTGGGATGAGGAGAGCAGACGGTGAAGCAAGGTAGGAGAAGGGGATTGAGATTCAGAACGAGAGAGTTCAATTCCTCGCTGACAAATACAATGTAGCAGGAGTCTTAAGTAGTACCTTACACACGCTTGGCCACAGGCGGCCCAAGACGCCCATTGGGCTCAGCCCAGTTACCCTTCACCCTATTTAGTCCACTGCTACACAGGAGCAGGTGTGACAGCCGCCCGCTTCGCCTACTCCGGAGGAGTTAATTGCATGAAAGTACCACAATTGGGGCATTACATGTAGATTGGTACCACTTTTGGTAATTTTTACATGTCAGTACCAAGTTTGAGGCTAACCGTTACAAGAAGGTCTAAACTGTGTATAAACGTGTATTGACGGTGTATCTGACCAGAGGGGCCCGTCCGTCCAGTGCCGACGTGGCATGTCTTTTTCAAAAAAGCCCCTTGCTTTGCATGTAATCACATAAATGCCCAAATCTTTTCCGGGAAAAAAAGTTACTTAAAGTCTTTTTTGTTTCGTTCCAATTTCCACCACCGAATCTGACTGGTTTGAAAATTTCCGTCCAATTGAACAAATAAATAAAACATAATAAGTGTGCTGTCCAGGGTGTCGCGACATAACCACTACGCCAGGCCTTCGCTCGCGTTGTACTTCAGGCATTCGTTCTTTTATACTATCACACTGTGGCTGGGCCGGCCCACCGAGGACTGCATTTTGTTTTCGTTTCTAACTCAACTGGCGCGCATGCTGGGCTCGTTCATTGCCCCGGATTCGTTTCATTTCTCTTATGCTTTCAAATACGCACGAACATTTTTTAATGTACGCTGAGCACTTTGAATAAAAGTTGAACAGTTTTAATGCATTTCTAGAATTTGTTATTATTACACAATGATTTTAAATACAGGTTGTCAACTTTTTCTTTTCAAACGGTCAACACTTTTTTCATCATAATGAACGTTGAACATATTTTAAATGCAAATTGAACATTTTTGTAATATAGGTTGATCGATTTTCTTAATATGATGAACATTTTACTTAATGTGTGATGATTTTTTTGTAATTTATGCTGAACATTTTCTTAATACACGATGAATTTCAAGAATATTATGGTGAATATTTTCTTAATACATGGTTATATTTTTGTATTTCAAAAAATGTTCTGCATGTATTAGAAACTTATTGTGTAAAATGATTCTTGCATTTCCAGAAACATGTTGTTTTTTTAATAAAAGTTGAACATTTTTAATCCATTTCTAAAAATTATTATGATTAAAAAATTATTTTAATACATGTTTTGCGCCATGTTTCTAAAATTTAATGCATTTCAAATTATATGTTCAACTTTTAATGCATTGAATGCAAGAATGATTAAGAAACCGGGGTAAAAAGTTCTTGAAACTCATCGTGTATTAAGCAAATATTCATCATAAATTACAAAAAGTTCACTGCACAATATGTAAAGTGTTCATCATATCTTAAGAAAAAATTTCAACATGTATTACAAAAATGTTCAGTTTGCATTTAAAATATATTCAACGGATATTACAAAATTAAGAAACTGCTCACTGTTTGCAAAAAAATCATCATGCATTGAATTTTTTTCACTACAAGCAGAAAAGGTGCTCAGGGTACATTAAAAAAAATTACATGGGTATTTGAAAGCATAAGGGAAATGAAACGAATAGAAACCGGGGCAACGAACAACCCGAGGACGCGCGCCAGTTAACTGCGAAACCAAAAAAAAAAAGCTGGCTTTGATGGGCCGGCCCAGCGTTCTCCACATAGTATACTAGTATATAAGAAAGTATGCCTATAGTACGACGCGAGATGCCGAGTGGCTCTGTGGTTAGCGCGCGGCAGAAATTGTCAAACCAGTCCAGTTCCGTGGTGAAAATTGCGAACAAAAAAAAGACCTCTCGGAAGCCTTTTTCCCGCAAAAAAAATTGGGCATTTATGTGATTACATATAAAGCAAGGGGTCTTTCTGAAAAAACATGCCACGGAGGAGGCGGGGCCCGTGGAGGAGGACAGCCGCCGCCTCTTCCCTGCCTCCCCATCTCGCCCGAAACATCGCTCCTGGAGCCCTTCCCAGTCCACGGTGGAGCCCCCATCCCAGCTCCGCATCCGAGATCCGCGACAAGGGAGGGGTGGATCGATGATGCTGCAGCAAAGAGGAACGAGGTTGGGCAGTGGTGAGGCATCGGCACCAGAGATGCAGATCTGCGGCGGAGCGGGATCGGTGACGACTGACGAGGATGACCTGTGACTCCTCATGGCAAAGGTAATTTCTGACATCCCCTTCCTGGCTCCCTTCCTCTGCTTCCCTGCTGTCGTAATCCCACCATCCGGCTTGTGGCGAAGTCTTAGTTGAGGAGAGGGTGGCGCTGCCGTAACCCCACCTGCTTGATTTGATCTTTGCCAATGCACATTGTATAGATTGATTTGCATCATGACTCGGATTGCAGAAGTGCATTTTGTAAAGCAAAAAACTTTTGATGCAAAGGATCAGGGGACGAAGCTGAATGATCCCTTTCAGATATCAGCATTGTACTTGCGGAATTGCATGGCATGCAAAGCCTGAAAGCAACAACTCCCTGGACTGGACCGACGAAATGAACTTGCAGCTACAAGGTGGACATCAGAATATTGGAGATTAGGCACGCACCGGGCTGTGGACATAAGAATATTGGAGATTAGGCATGCACCGGGCTGCTGTTAGCACACACACATCGGTCGCTGATCACTGTCGTTTTGAGCAGTTTTCCGGTAAGCCTGAGCTTTAATCTCGGGTCAACTGTGAGCCTCATTATCAGAGCTAGGATACAAAGGACACACTGTGCATATGTTGCAACCTTGACTTCTCTCGTCTATGAATAATATAGCTGCAGACACATTTAGGACCTCTCGTTTCTGAAATGGACAAGAAAAAAGGGCAAAAACAAATTTGTCAAGTTGCTGTACACATTTCCTTTGCTGTGATCTGTGGATGACCCTTCAAGCAGGGATTAGGTATAGATGTAGAGTAATTTACACCGAAGGATTACACATGTAACACACGGCAACCTAATTCATTTGACCGAGTCAGAGTTGAGGTCCCTGTTGATGAAAACTGCTAACTGTTCTACTGTGAATCTTATCACTCCAGACTGGTTCAGTAATGGTTGTAAGGTAGCTGTATAGTTATTTTGGTTGTTTGGCCTCTTCTTCGTTGGTTCCCATTTTCTGCCATGGTTTCTGTTTTTTCCCCTGTCTTTTGCTAATCAATTTTTTTCTTCTAACCAAGATTTTGCACCCTTAGGTGTGTATATTCTATATCAAAATAAACATATATACGAAAGAGGAAGCTCGCCCTTCCTCTAACCAACTCAGATGACCTAAATCACACGCTTAATTTATTTATGATTTAATAGGCACCTACAAAGAGCAACTTTGCTTATGATCCAGGGCAACGGTTATCTGTCTTAAGCACTCAATGAGCACTTTCTACCAGATTAATTGAATGTTAATTATATAGATGAAGCTTAAAGCATCCACCTACTATTTCCGACCTGCACATTGGTCTCAAGCTACAAACTAAACTGGACTCAGACTAATGAGTACAGAGTTACAGTACCTCTGGTTAGTGTTATTGTTGAAAATTGAATTAGTAAAATAGCTTGTGGTAAAAATAAGAAAGATATACTGGCCACATGTGTGTTAATTATTGTTTCAAACCTGAAAATAGAAGTCTATAAATAAATCCTTAAATGTTTTCCCCTCAGGACAGAGTTGTTATTTTTTAGGAGCAAGGTACATGATATATATGTAGGGCCTCTTTGGTCAACGTCTCAATGGATATGAAGTAAACTCACGCTGACTCCGCGGCCCCATGTCTATCGAGCCCCACCTGCCATCCTCTCCAGAATCAGGAACAAAAGTGAAAAAAAGCGGACGGCTGACCCGATCGGGTGGTCAAAACCGACGCGCGCCAGCGATGCCTCCAGATGAGCGGGTAGTCTAGGATGGTTTATATGTTCGATGTCCTGCTTGGCCATGGCAATTGGTAACACTGTCACCTTGGCTAGATAGCATCCTTATTATGTGCTTTAGTAGAGTGAGGTTTCTCTGTGATGCTACTGAGCTCGCGATTAACATGACACCCTGCCTAGGTCCTAAGGGTTGGTTAGAAACCTGAAGATACATTATGCTCGAATGACATTAGCACCAGCGTGATTAATCAACCCGATATTACTTGCATGATAGTTACCATTTGGAGGTATGTTATTTTGCTAAAAATGGTACCTATGCTCTAACCTTTTGTAAAGTGAATCAAATCAACTTAATCCAAATTAGGACACTTTTTTACAATCTAGAATTGTGCTTATGATATTTTTTACTTTAAAACTACACTACTGAATATAAGATCTCACAAATATGTTCAGGAAATGAATACCATTAAAAAGCCAATCATGATATGTCTCCTTATTTACAGACTGATCTCAGTTTCTACTATGCATTGCTTTTTTGTTAGCTTGCAATATTATTTAATATATTTATCTCAGAAATACAAGTAAAATACACACTTTTGAAAGCTCACAATGTAACAGCTTGATGGATTTATGCCTTTCAGAGGGGGGCATGGCGCCTCAGCTCCGCCACCGACGACAGCCTCGGCGGCAGCAGCACGCGCAGTGCCGACATGGTCAAGGTGCGGCAGTATGGGAAGACGTGCAAGGAGCTCACCGGCATGTTCATGACACAGGAGTTGGCCATGCACTCTGGCTCTGTATGGTGCATTAACTTCAGCTTGGCTGGACGGTACCTTGCGAGCACCGGCGAGGACCGTGTGATCCATGTCTGGGAGGTCTCCGAGGGTGAGAGAAAGGGGGAGCTGCTCGGGGAAGGTGCGGTTTCAGAGGAGAGTGGTAGCGGAGGCAGCCTGTTTGTGGCAGTTGCTGGAAATGGATCGCGGTGGTGGCAATGTCGCCGCTCAGCAGTGCAAACAAGGGATATGTGGAGAAGAAGAGGAGGCCACGGGTGCAGAGCAGCCGCAAGTCTGTCGGTTCTGATCATCTGGTTGTGCCCGAATGCGTGTTTGGGTTCAGAGATAAGCCATTTTGCTCGCCCCTGGGGCACACCGCTGATGTTCTTGATCTACAAGATGCTAATCGCTTCAGCTTTGGGTTAACTTGTTGGCTGGCTCCTGAAACTGAGCACATGTTGGTATTTCATTGTTGTACTGGTGTATGCAAGGGTTATTTTCGTGCAGAGGTTTTGAACTGTGATTTCCTTCTCTTTCAAGCCTAAAGCATTCTTCTCTTTCAAGCCTAAAGCATTCAACTGATAATTTCAGGCAGGCATTTCAATTTTCTATCATGCTTCTAGATATCAAACGTGGTTGAGAAAGTTCCATTTTTAAGGGGCTGGAGCTCCATGGCTTACAGATCTAACGACCCCTGATGCTCTTTGCATATTTCCAATGATAACATCACTGTTCGCCATGCTTCCCTTTGAGGTATGCGTTCAATTCTTTTTACCTAAATGTATGTTTGTTCTTGGGCTACAAAATTTGAGATGCCATTTATTGCATCCTTCAACTATTTTTCCTGCTGAACCTGCCGGCTCGACCCAGGAGCGGCAGGTGCAGATGCGTGTGCGAGGAGCGCCGTCGGTCGACCGGCGTTCTTTCTTCGTCAGGAAGGGTGCAGCCTGCTACTCAAGCCCCTCTCCTTCGCTCCTTGAATAGGTACATCGACCTTCTCCTTCCCCGTTTATCTTACCCCGTTGTGCTCTTGCCATAGCTGCTCCTAACCCAGGCTTTCGCCGCTCCTCAACTCTCAGCAGGAGAGGCATGGGCACCACCACACTGGAGAGATGGACGAGGACATGAAGCTTTCGTGGAGAGGACGAGGTGGCCGCCGCTGCACCCCCATGCCGCGGACGCCGAGATTCCCATCCTCTCTGCCCTTGATAACCACTTCGGCGGCGCCATGAACGGCACAATCGCCTCTTCTCGGCAGGCGCAGACCGCATGGTCGTCTTCCTCTCCGGCTTCTTCTACACCATCAGACTCAGACCCTCTCCCGCTCCCTCTCCCTCTGCATCTCTGTAAAAATATGGTAAGCATTTCTTCAGAGTATCTCTATTGACTGATTTGGTTCCTTCGGTATTGACCTGTGCAAAATAGGGTCAATGAAATCAGAGTATTGACCTGTATTGCATTTGTAGCTTAGGTCAACTAGGAGATGATGCAAGCCAAGGCGCTCACACCGATTTAAGATGGTATATTCTGAACTTCCTTTGGTTTATGAGACAAAAAGGATGTTATATCTGCATGCTACTACAGTTTAGGCATTGATATTATTTGAGCATCTTTTGGTCCTGATGCCATATTTATTGCAGTTACAAAATTATTAACATTAATTTTCATTTATCATTTGTTGATCTAATTTTTTAGACCAAAATGAGAAGCCATCCTTTTATTTTCATTTCAGGTGTGGGTGATCAATAGAAGACAAATGAATACACTGATGGAAGGCCATGTCAAAGTACCTTTCTATTTTGTATTTTCTTTTTGTTTAGGATCTACTATAATTTCCCAGAAAGTTTTTATTCCATAGATGATATTTGGTTTTATTCTACATTTTTTTTCCTTTGCAAAGATAGATATTATAAGAGATAAATAGCATGTAAAGGTTAACCTTATATAGCCTTTTTTATGAGCGATAATCTAACACTTACAAGATCATCTTAGGATTTCCTAATGGATACTGTACACATTCCATCAAGGATTATTTTAGATGCTATGCTGAAAGACACTATAGCTCCCAAAATCTGTATACTGCACCCAGCCTGCAGGAAACGTTGGTATAGAGTAGAGACTGTGACTGGGTTTTATCCATTTCTACAGCACTTGCCAGAGTGTACTGTCAAGAGATTTGTTTTTCGGTCTGAGTCATCTTGCTACTTTTTCAGGTTTATTTACATATGAAATCACCATAATTTTTGCCATGGCTCTGGTTCTTGATATAGTGCTTAAAAGCACTATCCCATCCTGATTGTCTCACTGAATATCGTCTTCGAGAACTGGGCATTCTTCTAGTCCATGAAGAGCACTCGCATGGTCAAGCACCATGAGATCTTCATCCGCAACGCCGAGTGACCTTGAAGATGAGGCCAGAGAGATCCGTCGCCTACTGGGTTCGATCGGATGCCATCGATTTCACCCACCGCCAATGACGGCGAGGCCGGTGGCTCTGGCATTGAGCGATATACTTCACCTCTCACGTGAAGAAATAAGATATTTTGAGGATTAGGATTATTTATGAAATATAATGAGCATCTTTTACCACCAATGGCCTATGAAGTCTCACCATATTAAGACACATGCATCACTATTAATCATCCCAGCTAAAACCACAGTCAGATAAATCAACTTAATTATTCTACTACTTTCCAGATGACAGCTGTTAAACAAAGGTAGACACAGCCAGTGATACCAGCGGTGGCCAATTACCCATGGTAATTCTGAAAAACATACTTATGATTGATTGTACATCGCAAAGAATGTTTCTTCTTCTTCACTAATGCATGCTATTTGATCAGTATTTTTTTATCACTTATGCATGCAAGTTGATCAAGTATGTAATAAAACAAACTTCTTTCAGGTCCAGTAGGTGTTCTGTTTGTTATTCATTAATGCTCTGATTTATTTGCTGTTATATGTACAAGCTGTTTGCTATTCATTAATGCTCTGATTTATTTGCTGTTACATGTACAAGCACTGCTTACTGCTTCTCACTGACCATATACAATAGATAATCTTTCTACCTTTCACGAGTACACACAAGCTAATTAGCCCCTCTGTTTGTTTATGTTGTCCTCTATTTGCTATTGCAAACTCTTACCATGTTGTCCTCTAATTTGCTCCAACACAGACGAACCACTGCGTCAGAAGCACAATAAGCCATACGAGTATATTCATCGCCCACGCAAAGCAAACTCAATCCAAAAGTTCAAAGGCAAGAAAATCCATGTAAAGCCTAGAAAGTACATTCTCCGTGGTAAGAGCTACATTACTCTTCTCATTCCATCAACTCTCGCAACAACTGCTAAAAGATATAACTTTGTACAACTTAACATAGGTGAGCCTTGCATCCACTACTTAGATGAGTTTACTCACCACATTGTGTGGGGCAACCCAGTTAAGCTCTACAACCATAATGTTCGTACACTGTGAAAGATCATCTGCAGCACCACCACGCCTGATAACTACTATGTGTGCCACATGACAGAAACATTTGCAACAGAAGGCAAAAGAATGGTAATCCTTTGCAATTACTCTATCCGGTTTCATATAGTATCATGGTAGAAAATGTTATAGTGACTAACCTTTACTGTTATTTTCAGTACTTTAGCGTTCCCTTTTCTATGGGTTCCCTTTTCCCACACATGGATGCTGACCATGGTGAACTGCCAATCACTATTGGAGACGGAACTACGCTGTCACGACCCCCTTTATCAAGGGTGTTGACAAAAGGGCCACCATCACTAAAGGCTGGAGTGACTTCTTCCGTCAGGCACACATGAACGAAGGGCAAGTATATGCTTTCGCCTTCAAATGCACTTCCAAGGGACTCTGCCTGATCGTCTACTCAATATAAGCAAGTTGCAAGAGCCCCTTGTTATATAACTTAGTATTCTTAGTATTAGTACAGATGCCTATCAAGACTTCCGTGTTTATCATCTTTTTAGATCTTATGTAATCCCCTAAGACCATCCTGTGCATTTAGCTATCGGTTATTTGCCGCTTAGACTGCTATGTGGTATGCTTTTGAAACAACCCTGATGGAAGAAATATATGCTTTCACCTTTAAGTGCACATCCAAAGGCCTTTGCATGATTGTCTATCCAATCTAAACAGATCAAAAAAGTCCTTTCCTACATGACTTATTGCATCATTTTCAATCTTATGTACTTACTGCGTATAGAATGAGCTATTCTTTTCGAATAACAATATGTTAATACATGCTCTTACAATAATTAGCTTACACTCGGCCTTTGCGCCATTGGCGCAATGGGTCATCTAGTATTTTTAAAGGCCCGGTCGTAACTAGGCATGCGTAGGGCGACTGGGGGCGCGACCGCCGGGGTCCCCGTGGGGCCGCCGCCTGCTTCCTCTGGTGACCGACGTCAGGTGGGGGGCCGGTTCTGAGCACTCGCCGACGCTGACGAGGACGATGGGGATGAGGAGGCGGATGTGGCGCCGCCATCTCCGCCATCGCCAACGCCTTCTGATTTTTTGTGCGAGTTTTTGAATGCAGGATACAATGAAGATGAGGTCGCCACTACCGTCGACAAGGTCTTGCCCGTTGATGATCCGGCCAGGGTCGGGCTTCATGCAGGAGAGACCAAGGAGATGTTGCGCCGGGTGGTCCACCGGAGAACGGCGGCGGCGGCGATCCGGCCATGGAAGGGCCCCCCTGCCTAAGGTACGTTTACCAAACCTAACTATTTTCGATCTGATTCGGCCGGAATCATGGACTACGGTGACAAGGAGAAAGAATTCTCGCCGGGCAAGGCCTAGATAGGCGCCGGAGGTGACTGCAGCAGCGCCGCCGGTGGTCACGGCTTCCCGGATCAGGGCGGCTCGCCAGGAGTGTTTGAATTCGCTCCTGGGCCGAGATGCGTTGCGGATTGTTATTGGGCCGATGAGTATCATTGGGCCGGGGATTGTTGGGTATGTGGCCCAGACAGAACCGGTCCAGCTCGATATCGAGGGGGACGAGGCATGCATTGAGTTGCGATCGACGTTGCCGTCTCCCTCACCGCGTCCTAGGGTTTTTCTTCGTCGGACACCGAGACTTCGCTCCGCGGGGATCGGGCGGGCTCGGCGCATCCCGCCTCTCGGAGCCATGGCGGGGCGCGGTGGTGCTCCGTTGCCCGGAAAGAAGCCGGTTGCGCCAGCCGGGGTGGGCCGCACCGGTGGAGCGCCGCCGCCGGGTGCTGTGCCCTTGCCGGCAGCTGGCGTTGGTCGCGATGGTGTGTCGTCCTTGACTTCTGCTGTGGGCTGTGGAGCTGGCGTCCCCGGTGGGGCGGCCAATGTGGCGGTGGGTCGTGGCGGTGGCGTGCTGCCCGGTGCTCAATCACCGGCGCCGGGTGTGGCGGTCTTGCCTTCGGCCGGGCGAGGCGGGCCGGTCCTCGGTCCTCGACCTACGGCGCCCGGCCTAGCTGGGGTTTCCACTGCGGGTCGGGGTGCTGCGCCGCCCAGGCCACCTGCGCCAGGGAGCCAAGGGGTGACGACGGGTCAGCAGCCTCGGGCGGCCCCGCCACATCACTTCGTTGCCCGACCGTCGCAGAATCGGGCTGCGCCGGTGTTGTCGCAGGTACCGCCGCCACAAAC